CAAGGGCTTTATTTCAGAACTAATAGAGACAAAAAGTCACTCTAGGAACTTACCAACCTTAAGTTAGGTTTCTATCATTCAATACAGAATCAGTGTACCAAAAAAAATTGGCTGACACAGAAGTTTCATGAAACAACACATGATCAAGAAGTCATGGTGATGAAGGGAGAAGTTGAAGTTGCTCTAAAGGAATTGGTAAAAAACAAAGTCCCAAGATTGATAGAATTCAAATTGACATATATAAAAAAACAGATGTAGCCCTAGATATGCTCACCAGGTTGTACCAAGAAATATAGAAGACAGCTACCTGGCCGACTGACTGGAAGAGATCCACATTTATTCTTTTTTCCAAAAGGTATTAAAACAGATTGTGGAACTTATCAAATAATATCACTAATATCACACACAAGCAAAATATTGCTGAAGGTCATTAAAAAAGGATTAGAACAGTACATCAACAGAGAACTGCCAGAGACACAAGTTGCGCGTTGGAGAAGCCATGGCACTAGACATCATTGCCAATTTCAGATGGATCAGGCTAAAAGAGAAGTTTACTAAAAGATTGTCTCTATGTACTTTATTGGCAGTGGAAAGGCAGTGTGGATGACAACAAATTATTGCTACCATTGAGAAGAATTTTAATCCCAGAACACTTGATTGTGCTCATGGGAAACCTAGGAAGTAGTGGTCAGAACAGGGCCAGGAAACCCAGCAGGGTTCAATATCAAGAGAGAAGTGTACCCAAACCATAATTTATATGAGACAAATAAAGATCAAGTTTAGAAGGCCCAGTCTGCAGTATAAAGAGACTGCCAAATACAGCCAGAAATGCACAATCTGAAGAGGATAAAGTTGAAGAAAGGGACCTTTTAAAGGTTAAATAATCCCTGTACTCATCAAAGACGTTTTCCAAAAGGATGAAAAGAAAACCTACAGAAAGGGAACAAACATTTGGCAAAACCAGCTCAGACAGGAGTCTCATACGAAAGTTTACAGAATACCCCTGGGCATCTACAAGAAAAAGTGGCAAGATAAGAACTCTAGTACATTGTTGGTGGGATTGTACAATGGTATAACCTCTCTGGAATGCAGTTTGGTGCTTCCTTACAAAGCTGAATATAGAAATTCCATATGACATATCTGTTGCGTTGCTTGGAATATACCCCATGTAAATAAAAACTGAGGCACAAATAGGGACTTGTACACCAGTTTTCATAGCAGCATTATTAACCATTGCAAGAACATGGAAAACAGCTCACATGTACCGCCACAATGGAATGGGTTGAGAAATTATGCTGTATTCATACAATGGAATACTAACAGCATGCAGGAGCAATGATTTTGTAAATTACTCCCTAACTTGGGAGGGACTGGAAAGCATTATGCTCAGTGAACTAACTCAGTCCCATAACGAGAAATACTGTATAAACCATTGTTATAGAAAGTGTATGAAGGTTCAAGGAGCGGAGGGTGGAAGAAGAGGGGTGAGGATGGGTGGGGAGTGGGGGTGGGAGGATTAATAATGGGGATGCACAATTTGATGGGTGGGGTATGAGGGAAATGGAAAGGATCTAGTGTGAAAATCAATGTATTTGAGTTTTGTAAATAAATTCGTATAAAAAAGAATGTAAAGTAGAATGTATATGAATGACTGCTTGAAACACAATGTAAATGAAAGATTGTATAAAACCCAATGTATATGAATGAAATACTGTAAAGATATTGCTATATGAAAATCAATAAAAAGTATTTAAAAAAGTGTAAAAGCAATGCCTCCCTTCTCTTTACATTTTCCATCTATATATTGCACAGAACACTGGGTGGGGGTGGTGTTGGACTTTAAGAGGAAGAATGTGGCATCTTGACTAGAGGAAGACTTATCAATAAGCTGCATTATGCAAATGACACAACCTTACTTGGTGAAACTGAGGAGGGCCTGAAGCATTTTCTGAAGGTCAAGGGCTGCAGTGCTCAATATGGTTTGAAACTCAACATCAAGAAAACAAAGATTCTCACCAATTAGATGAAAAAGAGATTTAGGGTGCTAACAAATTCATTTTTCTTGGCTCCACAATCAACTGTCATGTAAGCAACAGTCAGGAGATAAAAAGATGAATTGCACTGGGAAAAGTTTCCTCTCAGGGACCCCTTCAGAGACTGATGAGCAATGACATCAGTTTAGAGATTAAGGTTTGCCTGATCCAGGCCATAGTCTTTCCAATGATTTACTACACATCAGAGAACTGGACAATGAATAAGGATGACAGAAAAACAATTTATACCTTTGAGTTATGGTGCTGGAGAAGAGTATTGAATATACTATGAACAGCTAAGAGAACAAAAATATCTGTCCTGGAGAGGGTGAAACTAGGTTGCTCCTTGGAGGTAATAATTTACAAGTTGTGTCTCACATAACTTGGGTATATGGACAGGAGGGACTAGCCACTGGAAACGGACATCATGCTTGGAGGGGTGGGGGGTCTGCATAGGAGAGGAAGACCCTGGATGAAATAGATTGACGCAGTGACTTGGGTAATAGGGCAGGCTATGTCAGAGAGAGTGTTGTTAGCTCTGGATAGTTTAGGGTTCAGGGCTATCATTTGTAGAGTCGCTAAGAGTCGCAGTTACTGGATGGCAAATAAGCACCATCACTATCTCACCACCACCATCACCACCACCACCACCACCACCACCACTACCACTACCACCATCACCACCACAACTGTTCTTCATTGTGAGAGGATAAATGACAGCTTGTTGAGCCAAATAAATAAATACAACATACATACTGCTAACTTGTTCATGATGTACTATAAAAATGATCATGTAAGTATTATATCACAAAAGGTGTGTTATTAGGAAGTACCAGTACTCAGAAAAACAGACCACACTGGAAAAAGCGTCTCTATGAAAGAGAGGAAGACCCTCAATGAAGTGGATTGACACAGGATCTGCAACAATGGCTTGAGCATGACTGAGATCGTAAGGTCTCTATGGGGAGATGTATGAAAGAAGAGGGATGGGACATCTCCATCAATATGATTTTTTCTTGTTTTTAGGTGCCATCGAGTTGAATACGACTCATAGATGCCCTATGGAAAAAATATTTGAACCAAGTCCTGTTCTGTGTGATCCTCACACTATCTGAAACAAACACTTTTTAAATCCATCTGGTTGGGGCTCTTCCTCTCCTTCACCAATCCTCCAACCTTACCCACATCATGTTCCTCTCTAAGGAGTAACCACTCAGCATTATGTGCAAAGTAAGTGAAGCGAAACCTCATCATTCTTGCCTATAAAGAGCACTCCAGCTGCACCCATCCATGGGATGTTCAGTGCTCTTCTCCAACACCACAACTCAAAAACATAAATTCCTTTTCTGCCATCCTTATTCATTGTCCAGGTCTTGGGTGCATAGCTAGTAATTGGAAAAAGTGTGTCCTGAATCAGACTCACCTTAGTTCTCAAACTGGCATCACTATTCCTCAATAATTTATAAAGGTCTCTAACTTCAGATTTCCCCAGTGCAATGCATCTCCTTATTTCCTGACAGCTGGTACCAAGGGTTTAAATTATGGATCCAAGCAAGATGAAGTTGTTGATACTTTCAATTTCCTCTCCATACATCAGGACACTGCCTATTGGTTCAGTGGATATCATCCATGAATAAAGCGAAAGGTCATTACAAAAACAGAGGAGAGAAAAAAACCGAAATGGATGTCAGAAGAGACCCTAAAGTTTTCAGTGGAACATCGAGAAGCCAAATCTTAAAGGAAAACATGTCAAAGTGAAAGAGCTGGACAGATGGTATCAAAGGGTAGCTCGGAAGGACAAAGCAAAATATTATAATGCAATGTGCAGAGAGCTACAATTGGAGAATAAAAAGGAAAGAACTCGCATTGCATTTCCCAAGGTGAAAGAACTGAAAAACAAATTTGTGCCTGGTGCAGAATGTTGAAAGATGCTATGGGAAATATATTGAATGACCCAGAATGCATCAAACGAAGATGAAGGGAATACACAGATTTACTGTACCAGAAAGAATTGACACTAAAAAATTTCAGGAAGTACCATATGAACAGCAGCCAGTGGTAATGAAAGAGGAATGGAAGCTGCCTTGAAGGCATTGGCAAAAAATAAAGTCCCAGAAATCGATGAGGTAGCAATTGACTTGTTTCAATTAACAAATACAATCTTGGGTGCACTCACCAGTCTATACCAGAAAATTTGATGGAAGGTTGGCTGGTCAATGGACTGTAAGTGGTCCATATGTTTTCCTTTTCCCAAAAAGGGTGATGCAACTGAATATGGAAATTATCAAACAATATCATTGATATCATATACAAGCAAAATACTGCCGAGGATAATGAAAAAAAGTGCTGAAGAGTACATAGATAGGGAATGGCCAGAAGTTCAGTTGGGATTTAGAAGAGGACGTGGTACCTGGACTAGTATTGCTGATTTCAGGTGGATCCTGGCTGAAAGTAAGGAATACCAGAAGAATGTCTTTTTGTGCTTTATTGAGTACGCAAAGATGTTTGCGTTTGACTGTGTGGCTCATGACAGGTTGCGGATGACTTTGAGGAGAATAGAAATTCCAGAGCACTTGATCGTGATCATGAGGAACCTATACATGGAGCAGAAGGCTGTTGTGTGAACAGAGCAGGGGAGTGCTGCATGGTATGGAATTGGGAAAGGAGTGTGTCAGCGATGTATTCTGTCTCCATACATGTTCCATTTATATACTGACCAAATTATCTGAGAAGCTGGACTCTATGAAGAGGAATGTGGCATCCAAAATGGAGGGAGACTCATCAATAACCTGCGTTATGCAGATAACACAACCTCACTTGCACAAAGTGAAGATTTGAAGAACTTGTTGCAGAAGATCAAGGAGTGAGCCTTTAGTCTGGATTGCATCTCAATATCCATAAAATGAAGATTTTTACCACTGGTCCCATAGAATTTGCTGCCTCATAAAACCCACTAGAAGATCGGCTATGGGTCAGTTCCATCTAGATGGCACAACCACCACGAGTCACAGTCCACTTGAATGCACCTAACAGCAACAAGAGTTACCATAAAGTATTCTAATTTTTGTGGCATGATTTATCTTGATAATTTATCACTGATATATCATTTTTTCATTACCTTAAATTCCATAGCTGAGTGAATTCGAAACTGTCCCAACCCTGTCCGTCTCTAGGGCCACTTCCTGATCCACTTGTCAGGGTTTGATGAACAAGATCCTACTCCAAGCCTGACACACCACAACGCAGAGTTTGATATCCATACAAGACCATCATGACCTTTGTGGGGTGTCGAGGTTCTTCTTAACTTTTCCCTACCATCGATTTCCTGCCCCTGACTCAATCCCAACTCATGGAAACCCCTCTACAGGTCAAGGCTGCTAATATTTATGGGAAATACCTATCATCTTCCTCCCAAAGTCACCCGGTAGATTTGAACTATCAACATTTTGGTTAGTGGTACAATATATAGTGCACTACACTACCAGGAATCCGTTCTCTCTGCTAGGAGTCTAGAATGGGATCCAATGTATGAGACCACAAGCAACCTCTTCTCATCCTCCATCAAAAAGCCAGTGAGTTGCTCAGTGACTGGGGCTGCCAGCAGACGGCACCAACACCCAGAGAGAAGACATTCAAGATGTGCTTCTGCTCGTTCATGTCTTCTCTAGGAACCTAAAGTCAATGAGGAGCAGCTGGTGATCCAGGATCAGGGAATTGGAGAAGAATGTCTGGGCTTGTCCACAGCCCCCTATGTAAATTACCTGTTTGAAGAAAAGCTCTAAATAGAATGAGAGACGGAATTTAGAGACTGGAACAGAAGGAGAGTTTACCTGTGAAAAGAAGACTAGACTTTCCTTCTGTCTGGATGTTAAGCATGTTAAGGATAAGGGTCGTGTACACCAGATCAGACAAGGCAGTGGAGAGAAAAAACGTGCTTCCCTCCGCTTCCACCTGCCAGTCATTGGAAGAGTTAATCATACAGACTTTGAACTATTGACTCTAGTCCCCAAACTCAAGTGAGTGTCATAGAGGAGAGACTGAGTCTGTTTCAGATATGAAGGCAAATTGGTAGAGAGACAGTTCTAAGACATAATGAACCACTCGTGGTTAACCTACTTCTCTGTCGTCTCCTCCTTAAGCACTTACAGCTGTCCAACTCCCTGCCTTCCATCACCTGAGCCCCCACCAGGAAAGATATCCCCTATGAGTCTGTTTAGCACACTGACCAGGGAAGACACTCAGTCCAGAGTTCGCTGATGTGCTTTATTGAGATATATAGCAGAGGAGGTGGGTTCTTTTCCAGGGAGGATTGTTCACTCTTGTCCCATCACTGGGAGATCTTCTGTTCCGTAGAACTTCACTCTTGATAACTTTTTCAGCTCTCAAACTCAGTAGGAATGTCAGATGTAACAAGGTCTCAGAGAAAGGATGGAGCAGGGAGGGGGAGGTGGTGTTAAATTCTGTTAGGAAATGACACTGGATAGGTGGCTTTGAGCATATTTTTTTTTTAAATCATGGACTATATGCTCATCTCCTCAGCATCTTTATTTCTGCGCAGAGCTTAGAGATGAAGGGACATGGCTGTGGATCCATTCGCTGTAGTAGGACACTTTAGTATAAACTCCAGGATATAGTAAAGTTCCACATCTTCTGCCCCCACTCACTATCCCTATCTGCAGCCAGCTGTGCTGCCAGTAACACACCAAGGGTCCTCCGGCGTCTCCCTGTGGGCAGAAAGAATAGGTGGTGAATATCAAGGTCCTTCAACCTTTTGTGAAGAAAAGACAACAAATAAGAAAAATGAGCAGACATGAAAAATGGGGGACTCACATAGCAGGAGTCTCGGCCTACACTCCCGGCACACAGCATGTCTTCCTTGATGTATTTTCCATGTTTATTTTTGCAGACCTCCTCATCCACAATAGGAATCCATACCTCCTGTAGGTTGTAGGGTGGAGGCAGTCGCTCTGTGGGGAGAATCTAGTGAGCTTGGGTGGCAGGATGAAGGGGTTTTTTTCTTCTCCCCTTCACTGTGATCATTAGTGACTTCTGGTGGCATCTCCTCAGACTTCCAAATGCACTGACCCAGCCATAACATTGAACTCAAGATGTTGGGTTCTAGAAGAGCACACTAAGCCTCAATTTCCCCCCAACCCCTTGACCACCAGCGCTATATATCACTCACTCCACTGGTTTCCCTGTGCCCGTTGACTAACTCTCTAGGCTGAAAACATGGGCACCAGACCCAGGAGAGAACTCATTGTAGAGTTTTCTTATCTCTATATAATTGTTACTGGTAAATCAGAACACTGTGAAGGCATGGTCTTGGGGTCAGAGTGAACTTGGACCACTGATCCATGTTCACATGGTGATCAACTCCCTTAACTCCCCTCAGTCTTCTTTCCCATTCTTATACTTAAGATGTAAGATAACAAGGGACCCAGGGATTCCCTTCAGCTGGTTTTTGTGCCCCAATCTAGTCCTGTGGAGATATACAACTCCACTCTCAGGTTGCTTCTAGAGGAACCTGGTTGAGACTTTGATGATAACTTTTTACCAACTGTCTTCTCTTACCATCCCAGGGTCAGCCCTCTCCCCTGTGACCCCATTACCCTGAACCTTACCGTTTACTTTAATGTTACCCCAACCAGTCAACCAGCAATATTTGCCTGCTGGGATCTCAAGGCCAGGTGCAGCAAGTTGAGTTTTGTTCACATAAAAAGATAGCGTCAAGGGGTTTTCCAATTTCAGAAGGGCCACATCTCCTTGATTTGTGGCTCCAAGGTGTGGTTTGTAGTTGGGGTGTGGAATAACCTCAGTCACATTCTGAAAAGGGCCGCTAGCAGAGAGTTTTACTTCTCCCACTTGGACCTTCAAATGCTGAGGTGCACGTCTGTTTTTTGAGAAAAATAGAATGAAAATCAGATGCTTCTCAGAATTTGGGACAGAGTCAGACCCATCCCAATAGCAGGCATTTGTGAGCCTCTTGAAGTCCAGGATATCTCTCTACATGGAGAAGCTGGGATCCTGCTGGAACCCAGGACTTCCACCACTCCATCTAGGAAGCTCCATAATTTTCGATTACAGTAGCCTCACATTTTCTACAAACCACCAGCAGTTGTTTGTGTGTGTGTTTGACTTACCCTGAAACACAGTGTGCAGCAGTCAGCACCCACTGCTCATGGATGATGGAGCCTCCACATGTAAAATACCAAGATTCATCGATTGACCTCCACAGGCTAACCTGCCATGGCCACTCTCCAGGTGTAGCATTCCATCCACCGATGATGCCCACAAGCTCTTCCTCTGGCCTGAGAGCTAGGAAGAAAGAGGTAAGGATCAGTAATAGAGGGGCCAGGGTCCCTGGTCCTATCACAGTTCAGTCTTCCCCTGTCAGATTCTGTCCAGTTGCAGGAGTGAGCTAAGCCTTCCTCAAAAGGGTTCTTACCCCATCCCACCACACACCAGGCAACTCCCTGGAAACTGTAGGCAGAGACTGAGGGACAGGGCATGGACTGGAAACAGTCAGAACTCACCTGAGTTCATAGGCACAGAAGTCCCCAGGCAGGGGAGGGTTGACAACAGCAGCCACAGCATCTGAAGGGGAAGGACATGTGAAGAGACTCTGCCCTGGGGTCTGGGATGGAGATGGCAAAAGTGAACAGGTAGCATTATCACCTCATCAGGTTGCAGATTTATGCCCAGGGCCACTCTTTGAGCCCTTTTATCTTCTACTTTAGGAAGTGGGCAGGGGAGTCAGCTTCCTATGGGGAGGGTCATAGGATGAGTCAGGGTTTTTCCTTCAGTGGGACCCGGGGTAACCCAGGTATGACTTTTCCTGAGAGATCATGGAGCAAATTGATTTTCCATTCAACTGTTTATCCACAATGTTTTTTGACATTGACTACAATTTCAATTTCTTTATTGCAAAAGCACTCTTCAAGTTTTCTATTTTTGGGGCACATATTTCCTTTCTCTTTCTAGATTATTTTATAGGTTGTGATAGCTTTGGCCATAATAACTAATCTCCTTTATAGAATCTTTCTCCAACAATTCAACATCTGTATTTTACCCCGTTTCTGAAGAAAATGATCTGATGTGTTTGCTGTTCTTGTGTACTGTTGAATTGGTGCCAACCCATAGATGACCCTCTGGTGGGTTTTCAGAGGCAGCAATCACATGAGATTGCCCATCTTTCTCCCAGAGAAAGAGCAGCTGGTGGCCTTGAACTGTGTGTCTTAGGGTTTGCATTGCAGCTTCTTGGCTCAGTCGATCTCATTTTTCAAAACACTCCTTCAGGAGTAAAAGCACTGAATGCTTAGTAATTTTGCTCACTGATTAAAAGTATTATACCATTGCCAACTTGTATGTGGTTTTGATAATTTGATACAGCCGGATTCTTTTGTTTCCCAATAATCTATTTCTCAATTTGTGAAATAACGGTAAAATCTGACCCTGTTCTTGTCTAAATCCCCTCATTTTTTTCTTCCACCCATTATTGCAACATGTGGGTTACAGTTTTTATTAAAAAACTGTGCTAATTACAATGATTTATAACAATATTGTAAAACAATATGCACAAATGGTTGAGTGGAATACCAATTTGTTTCATAAATTACCACTTATATCACAAGTTCAGCAGCTTATGGGGCACAGCTACCCTGTAATAAACATGGGGATATTTTGATCAGAGTTGAATATCTGGCAACTGTCCTAGTGACTATTTAAAACTTGGGTTTAGTGTGACTATATGTTTAATAGAGAGGGATAACATTATTTCCATGATCTATACCTTATTTAGACATGACTGCTGATAGTTTCATGGTGTTGTTTGGTGCTGTTGAGTGATAAGCCCCCTATGAACAACAAACCTAAACTCTGTCCTACCTGTGTCATCCTCACAAACTCTGACACACTTGAGCCCATTGCTGCAGTCCCTCCATCTGGTTGAAGGTCTTTCTTTCTTTTGCC